AAAACTGAACCCTTTTGAAATTTGAAAACTCACCTGAATCGATCCAATTTTCGCATTTTCCTTTCTGTGAAGAGCGCCCATTTTTGGTAGTAATCCTATCACTTTGATTTTTCACTTTTCAAAGAAGAGAATCCATTTTTCCCACTTTCCGTCTCAGTTTCCGTCACATAACTTGAACGTTTCCTCTTTTAATCTATCTCTAGGAAAAGTTCAAAATGTGTTGGTTTTCTTTCTAAGGATTTGAGAGAAAACATGCCCAAATAAGTTGTGAATTGGAATTGTGAATCATGTGAGTAGAAAGTAGCATTTCCTATTCTTTGTGCACGATTCATACTGTTTTTGATCTCTGATTGCGTGTATGAAAACGGTGAAACGCCAACCTTTTGATGTGCCGACATACTACAATATTTTAATGAAACAATAAAGGATTTTTGGATCAAACCATACAATTTTTTAAATTCCATCCTCAGATTCCACAAAAACTCACCTGTATGGCTGCCGGCTAAAAAAACTGAATAATTACCGAAAGTGAGCAGCCCGTATCAGTTGATGTACTGTCATAAAGAGTGGTTAACTTATAATAATCTTGCACAATTTCTGAAATAGCTAATTATTTTTGCACTAATAAGCAAAATGTTCATGTTCAAAAGGTTTTAAAAGTTTGAATAGTTCATTGGCCTTGTGTCAAACCCAGTTGGCAAAGGCCAAAGACAAGAACCTCATTTAGCCGTGCTCTTGCAAGTTCTTTGCAGCTCTTTGCCACCCTTTCTAGCGTTTCCGTTACTCTTGGAATAACTAGAAATTGGTCAGTTTCTTTAGAATGGCTTTTTAACATTTTGCGGCCTCCATTACATCTATTGGTTGACGTTGAAAAATCAACGATTTGCTGAAAATTTCCAGCTTTACAAAGATCAAATGCAAGGTCTACCTGTTCGGAGAACTGGCATTGATGACCCTGAAAATGAAACTCCGAATTGATTCGAATTGGTTCAACCACATTTAATCAACTTACTCTACTTCTCGGTCTTACTTGTCGAGTCTAAGCTAAGCGATAAGACAATTGTTTTAACTCTTTGCTTCTGAAGTTTTAATTTGCTTACTTTTCTCTCCCTGTGACGACGAGTCACCAAAAAGTTGCCGTAGTTTAATAAGACACCAGAAATACCGTACCCTAAGCAATGTCGCGCTAACGCCCGTATAAAAGGACCCCTCTTTCCCCATTTAGTCAGAATTTTCTCTCGTTTTGTCTCGTGAAAGTTGGTTTCTTTGGTTCGAGACACAATTTCCATAAAAGTGATTTCTTTTTCTCTCTGGCTCAACATATTGTTTCTATGAGCTCCATTCAAACATTTTCACACGCTCACGTGTATTGAAAAAACTTGGTTTTGTGATTCATTCAAGCAAAAGCGCACAGGTCTAGCCACATCTAGTGAATTCAAGGCAACACTAGTAATTCGTAATACAGGGCAAATTAGTTTTGATACTCCCAGTATTCAGCGAAAATCCCTGCACACCTTTTTTAATATCTTTATATTATTGACAGTTTTTCTTGCACTGCGGTAATGAAAGTGGAACAGAGCAAAAAACGGTTAAACAAAAAAGTTTAACAATGTAAGTAAACAAAGTTGATTTATTAGAGTTGATTTTCTTTTGTCAACCCGTGTGTCATTTGTTAACTTAGCAAAAAAACTTTATTATGAACTGCTATAAAGAAAAAGCGATTTTTGAGTGGCTCAGTTTCGTGAACATGGGCGAACACCACAACCATTTCCACTCGTGCCCTGAAAAAATTTGCTTATTTTTCGTCGTGTAAGTTGAGCTTGTTTGCAGAATTTTTATAGAATGAATTTAAGATGATTCTCTTGTTTGCTTTTGATTTTTGAAACTACACGGTGTTCAATAATTATTCAACGCCCTGTAGTTGCAACTCACCACAATGACTTCACATAATACAGCACCTTGGCGATCTTGCGAATCATTCCATTTTCCAGGTGGTAATAAAGGTATTACTGAAGTACATTTCCTAGGCGCTTTACGCACGCTTTAGAAGATGGAAATCAAGAAGAATCTGTAACTGCTATTGTCATTTTTACCCACGTGCGTTCCACTTGGCTCCTTTTCTCCTCCATTTGGCTCATCGCTGTTCCAGTTACTGAAAGTTTTCAATGAAAACAAAAACTTTAAAGAAAATACCTATACGTTTCGCAGAAAATACCTATACGTTTGCTCCGCTTTCCCATTGACTCATTTTCAGACCGAAAGACATTTGCTGAAAGTTATTGCTTTAAAGTGATTCAAACTCGGCTTACTCAGCGTAGAAGTCTGAATAAGTTGAGCATTTCGTGTTTCAGGCATTTGAAACAAGCTCTAGCTTGGACTTGCACAAAATAAACTAAAAACAGACTCCTTGATTACAGGCTCCTTGGTTCTCTGAATCGCATCGAATCAAACCTGCTTGTGGATGGAGTTTCTTGCAAGCAGCACGAGCTTCATCTATTGT